CACCTGACCCAGTCCCCCAGTGGGTTGTGTTTGCTTGTCTGAGTGCTCAAGGACAGAGCTTATGCCAGAGGCAATCACCCCTTAGGGCTACACTCCCTCATCTTAAAAGGGAGTCAGTTGAAACAAAGCTTTTCTCAAAGGGATGCTTTCTCTGACAGAAAAGAAAGCTTTACTCCTGGATAGTTCTGTTCTGCCCTGTCTGGGCTCTTTCCCCAGACAGTGTTCTTGACTCAGCAGCACAATTGCTTCAGACACAGTTCGGCTTTACTGTTTTCCCAGAAATGTCCTTACTCTGATAGGAAAGCTTTTCTCACATTTCTTTTTTGCAGCTGTGGACCTATCAACCCGGGACTTGTAGGAAAGCGGGCAACTGTGCCGTTCCCACCGGCTTTAGCTTTGTTTGTTCATTAGCAATCTTCCCCTGGGTCCTGCACCTTCCTGCCTCAGCTCTGTTATGCCCAGATTGTGACCCCAAAGATACCATCAAAGACCTTAGGTACAGAATGCAAAAGCAAGGTTTATTTTTGTTTACAAGCCGCAGGCAGGGAAGCTCGATCCAAAGCACTCACTGTGAGGCCAGGAGGAACTTGCTTTTTCTTTGTGTGGCTAGCTTTTTAAAGGCAAAATCCACAAGCCCTTCAGGGGGGTTGGGGAGTTTTGCACGGGTGCAACTCGGATTGGTTTATTTTTATCTCTGTTCTCTTTTAATTGGGTGAGGGTATGTAACCTTTGAATTTACTGGTTGGTGGTTACAATTTATTACTTTGGGGGCAGTCCAGTACAAGTCCCAGGCTTTGTCTTTGAGCCACCATGGGGGCTGGCTGGCCAAGCATGTACTGCACATAACTCTAAGTTGGTGAGGGGCCCCAGAGAGTAAACATCTGGCTGAACTTTGAGCAGTCAGAGTACGTGCAGAAAGGGAGCTACTGCAAGGACTATGTCTTTTGTTCATGGCCCTCCCAGAAACTGCTTGCTCAAGTCTCAGGAAACTAAAATTGAGGCCTGATCTCTGAGAGAAGACTGAGCAGCCTGTTATGGCATCTGCTTGGTCCTTTCAAGCTCTGTGCTCCAGGAAGTTTACAACTGCAGGAACCCTAGTATCCCTGAAATGCAATCCAACTCAGAGATGCTGGCCAGTCACCTCTGGGTTTTTGGTCAGAAGCGAGGATACAATGCTAACAGTTTGTATTGCTTCAGGGGATCTTTGCATTAGGACGATTAGGAGCACCTGTTCATCCTGAAACACTCACTCAAAACCCTTGATGCCTCAGCTGGGCTGTAACTGAAAAGCTTGGCTTTTTTGCTTTTCTCAGGTAAGGTTTCCTGCCCTTTTGGGCTCTTTGTAGCTCTTTACCCCCACTCTCCCAAGCGTTTCCCTCAGGGGACTTTGACCCACTGTCTTTTACTAGCTTGAAGAGACAGAGCTTAGAAGAAGTTTTTAGGAACTTGTCCCTGCCTCCTGCATTGCAGGGAGGATTTTTAAAGCTTGAAAGAACTTGGAGAGGTTTTGCTGTCTTAAGAGATTTGCTGTTTTCCCTTAGAGCTAATCACAGGTGGTCCTCATACTAGTATCTTCAGGTGATTTTAATTTTTGTCCTTTTGAGAAAGTTAAAGGCTTTAGTTTTTAAGTTTAAGAGAGCTTTTGAGAAAGATTAAGGCTTTTTAGAGAGATTTTTTTCCCCAAAATTTTCCAAGAAAAGCTTTTTAGTTTAAGAGAAAGATTTTTTTTCCCAAGAGAAAAGACCAACTTTCCCCAAAACTTCTGAACTTTAAACTTTTTGACTTCTTACACCCACATTTTTGCCCTAGGGAGAAATCACTTTGTCCTGCCGCTTGGACTTAGCATTTCAGCTGTCCCCAGGTCAAAAGCTTCCATGGGAAACTTTTTCTTCCCCATAAACTCAAAGAAGAGCTTTTTTACTACCCGTAAAGCTCAAAGAAAGATATTTTCCCCAGTTTGCGTTCAAAGTCCCCAAAGTTAGAAAATTGAAGAGTTTTTGTCTAGTTGCCTTATTTTTTTCTACACAATCTTACACTTCTAAGTTTTTCCTACACTATATTACTACCCTATACCTTATACTTATTTTTCACAGACAGAAACTGAGAAAGGGATAGAAGATAGAAAATTTTGACAGAGAATTTTGCGCTGCAGCATTGGACATCCTTCCAGTCCGTTTTCCTTTTCTCTTGAGGATAAAACCCCTGCCCCTCAATAATATAATATATTTTCCATAACACTGGCATGCCACTTTCCACTGGCAGGGCTGACTCACACTTTCGCCAAAAACTCTGTAATAAAACTATTATTTTCCTTTTTCTTTAGTCCCTATTACTTTGTCTTTAGTCCCCTCTTTTTTGTCTTTAGTCCCTTTTCTTTTCTTTAGTCCCTGTTCATGGCACCATTCTGCGGGGTGTTTACCCACCAACCCCACAGTTCCCCAGAGTTTTCTTGAGTGCGAACAGCAGGAAATATTAGAAGGATTTATGTTGTGGAGATAAACAGGTAGAAAATAAAGGATAGCCTCAAGAGGGCCCAGAACCTTTTCCAATGGGCCCTGTCTCTGCCCCAGGGTAGTTATAGAGATGCCAAGGGGTGGAGCAAAAGACCTCCTCCCCCAGCACAGCCAAGTGCAGACCATCTCAGACACCTGCACTCAGGCCCCGTGGTCCTAATCATCCTCTCTATGAGGACCTGCTGGTAAAGCCATGAGGAACCTGAAAATGGGCTCCCACAGTATGCAATGTACATCTCGGTGTCTGCAGAGGGTGTTGGATCCACTGGATCTGGAATTACAGGCCTGTAGGAGATGCCTGACATGGGTGCTGAGGTCTGAACCTGGGTCCTCTGGAAGAGCAGTAAGTACTCTTGATTGCTATCTCTCCAGCACCAAGGAACTTTTTTTTTGAGACAGGGTCTCATTGTGTAACCATGACTGGCTTGGAACTCACTATGTAGACCAGGCTGGCCTTGAACTCACAGACATCTGCTTGCCTCTGCCTCCACAGAGCTGGAATTTAAGATGTCTACCATGCCTGGCAGGAGCGACTTCTTAATGGCATTCAGTCTTAAGAGCATATAGCAGTAACAATGAAATGATCTATTTGTACACAGCTCTGAAGAAAATGGGTGTTTCATCAGACCTCATTGTAAATGCTGAGCATGTACTATGACTAACTTCTTAATAAGTCACAAAATTTCAATATCTTAATGAAGATTAATTCTCAGCTTTATAGTATCCATCAGGAATATCTCCCTTATAAATTTAAAATTCAAATGCAATTTATGGTCTAAAAATATTAAAGGCAAGTCATGTGCGAGCTTCCAGGTGATGCTTGAGGTCTAATTTAAACATATCCACAATTACCCACAATGAAGGGACTATGCATAAGCAACTATGGTCCACTTCTGCCTTTTTGTGTAATATCTCAGCTCTGTCTATTAATTTGCTTCTAATAAGTATACAGTCAATCAAAACTGAGCAAATTCCTTTGTATTGACTATGACTTCACCTCCTGACTCGGTTTTACATACTCATATTCCAGACCAATTTTAAAGGACAAAACAGAAAAGAGAACATGTATGAAATACATAGCAATATTTTTATGAATTTTGAGTTAGCAGATCTGAAGAATTCCCTGTAAGCTCCCACTAGGATTTGCCTTTGTCTAGGCTGTACGTTGCATTTAACTTTAAAACTCTGCAATATTCATGATGGGTAAATTGAAGCTGAGAACTGAAATAGTAAATGCAACCTCCTGGGACCTTCTCGTCTGTCGGTTTTCCTTTGGAAAACAAGTAAGTAGGAATTGGGCTGAACTCCAAAGGGTAAACATCTGTGACAAGTTACAAGGATCTTGATGGAATCTGAGTGTGGTGGAGATAATGGAAGGGTACGTTTGGGCACAGCTTGGGAGGAAAGGATCCAGAACAGCTACACGTGTGGCATGCACGTACCAGGTTGTGCTTTTCTAGAGTAATGCCACTAACCACAGGCTGTGCCACAGGCCTTCCTGCCACCTTCCACCTTCTCCTTCATTGTGGACCTGTACACATTCAGAGTACGTCTCCCCTGTGACCGGCAACTCTAGGTCTTTGAGCGCTCACCGGCCTTACTTCTGCAAGAATTCTTTGCTTGAGCGTGTGTGCATGTGGAAGCTGAAGTCAGCATCCACGTCCTCCGCTGCTGTTCTCCAGTGTCTCTCACTGCACCTGGCTCAGCAACTGACCAGATGGGCTAGCCTTTGAATCCTAGGTCAGGGGCTGTCTTTGTCCTCTCCACATACAATTACAGGACTGGGTGACATCACCTGGATTTTATGTGGGTGCTGGAGATCCAAACTCAGTCCTCATACTTCCATTTCAGGCACTTTACTGACTGAACCCCATCCCTCAGTGAACTTAATTTTTTTTTTTTTGGTGTGTGTGTGGTTCATGCACATGGGTGTGCAGGTGTGTATCCATGTGTGCATGTGTAAGCCAGAGGAGGGCTTCCTCCTCTCTGCCTTATTCTTGTAAGACAGACTCTCTTGCTGAACCAGAGCTCACTTGTGAAATTCAGGCAGGGGTCCCACAAAATTCTTATGATCCACCTGTCTCTGCTGGGGTCACAGGTATAAGCAGCCATACTCGGCTTTTCTATGTGGGGGCTGGGCATTTGAATCTGGTGCCTCATGCCCGCACAGCAAACGCTCACATCCACTGAGTCATCCCCTCAGCTCACCAAGCCTTATTTCTATGAAACCCTTGCACATCTCTGCTGGATCAGTTTGGTGACGCAAACCTTTTTTCACAGTCCCTTCTCTCAATTGCAAGTTCTGAAGTACTGCTGCCATTTTATTTTATTTCTATCTAAAGCACTTAGAGTCGTCGCCTACTCGGTATTTGTTGAATGAGGTGTAAGCACGGCGGGCTGCTCCTCTTTAAAACATTGTGCTAACATGTCTATGATGCAATGGTACCTTACTGAAAATATAGTCATTTAAGTAAAGAGACAAACAGGTGGGAGAGCAACCCATCTCTCAAGGAGTCAGAAACGGCTGTTTTTAATTGCTACCAACATTTTTATTGTAGGAAATACAAAAGGCATGACAAACATACAAACCATTTTCTGGTTTTGCTTCAACCAATTCAGCTGGCACACAAGTGAATCCAATGGATGGTGACCTTTGAACAATGGTTTTGAAAAGCAATGAATTCAATTACCTGACAATAAATACCTAAATCTGCAGTCTAGCACCCAGTAGAAATCCAGTTTCCAAAGGAGTATTGATCTGTGACCCTCTTCATTTCCTGCCCGTTTCCTCTCCTACTGACACAGAAGGAATACTGTAGCCCTCCCTCTCCAGGGAAGCCCCAGGTTAAGATGCCCTTAGGAAGCCTGGAGTCACCCCTTCCCCAAGCTGCTTTTAAAAATGGACTTCTAGTGACGGGAGATTTGGTAGAAGTTGTGGTCTTTGGATGACAGAGACACACCACACACCTCTACTTTCCCATTCTCCTAAGTGGAAAGGGCTCGGATAAACTGACCAGTATTTTCATCTGCTTCAAAGGAAGGGAGCAAAAGCCTTCAGCTCAGGGCTGTGAAGGGCAGGCTTAGAGATACCCTTTTATGATTTTCCTCCGGAGGGCTTCCTGTGTGGAGTGGGGCGTGTGTGTCATTAGAGTGACACAGGTCTACTTGCCCGTCCGTTCATTCGCTATGTGTTCCCCAAGGTCATTTTTCTGAGGGCTAGTAACCTGGATAGGTAGGGCTGCCAGAGAGGGTGAGCCACACCCACCCTTGAGTTACAGCACATGGTTGGTTCACAGACCCTTCAAAGAAAGGTCCCCAGGTGAACCTGGCAGGCTGGCCTGGCAATCCCACCTAGGGGGCACAGAGAAGAGCCGAAGCAACACCATCACCAGGACTCCTGCCCCGTGCTTCTAAGACTGTGTTCTAGGCAGTGAGCTCCCACACCCCTTCTTTGACCTGTTGAACCCAGAGCACCAAAACAGAGCGTTCTGTAGCAATATGAGCAAACGGAACGAGAGCAATTATGCACCTTGAGGGAATGTGCACCCTGATGTCTGCACCGTGAAATCAAAACAGCAGAATGAGTTTCAAGTATGAAGAAACACAGTAAAAGCAGAGCCTGCAGATGGACAGCATACAGCAGCCTGGAATGTTTTTCTCCTGGGACCACAGCCAACAATGAACACTGAATAATGACTGGGTTTAAAGACCAGGATGCACAGAAACATGCTGGGGGGCATTTATGACTGACATCATGAGTACATTCTGTGCCTGGCAACAGGTATTATCTCTTGATGACTATGGCCAGCCAAAGGCAAAGTGGGGGTGGTGGCCAGGCCTAGGCAAGCATACTTGGTGCTGAAAGTATTTCTCATCACATGCTTGATGCCCAAAACTCGGCCAAGGAGGTGGAGAGCGCCAAAGGAGCAGGTCAGGGTAGTAGCAGGAGCACCTTGGGAAGGGAGGGAGCAATGCAGGGCTGGGGTGTACAGTGTGGGGGACACTGGACTTCTGGGGCTAGCTTATACAGCCTAGATTAGCATCTAATATGTGAGACCTCTACAATTCTAGGACCGTGACTTCAGTCCAGAAAACTACGCGTCCAATGTCCAAATGAAGCTCTTTTTACCTTTAAACATTTCTATTCTAAGAATAAGTCACACAAGAAGCAGCTTACCGTGTACAACAGCTTCGCTAAGGCCTAGAAGCAAGTTTTAACTCATCTGTATAAGAATCCAGAAACACAACACACCTTATAGTAAAAACATACTTCTACATATCTAGAAAGGACAACCCTGTAACAGTCCCTACAGCTAACATGCACTCAGGGACACGGCACTGAACCCTGACACACACTGCTCATCTATACAAACACTTGCCCATTAACCTTCAGCTCAGACCAGAAACAGCAGAAACACAACAGGCTTTTGAATTGTTGGGGATTTCTGGCTGTTAAGATCTCAAATAACATGCGATCCTACAGCAAAGTTGCCTGAAATCTGAAAACACATTCTGAAAGCCTCAAGGCATAAACTGGCAGTTCCGTTTCTACAGAACCCCCCTCCCCACTCCGCTCCCTTCTCCACAGTACCACCTGTTCCCACCACTGCACGGGGCACCTACAAGGGCACCAGATTGCTTTGAGAAGCTTTTGTTCACAGAACCAGTCAGGAGGCAGCACCCAGATGCCTGCTCTGCCTGGCATCCACTTTGCTGGATACCTGCACAGTTCCTAAATTAAGGCAATCTCTACACACTTCTCTACCTTAGTATTTGCTATAATTATTCTTACAGTACACTAAATACACACCTGCCAGAAGCAACAGCTACAAGTCTGTGCCTTTGCCTCTTAACACAACAAGACACCTAGACACCGAAAGTACTACACCTAACCAACTGAAATTTTAATCATGTTATACTCATGCAGCTTATTTGGGGTATCACTGTAATTTTGTTTCCTTAGCTCCATCAAGACTATGATAATGAGCATTGAATTCAAGCCCTAACATCTGCCTTTAGTTGCACTTTCACAGGACTGGTGCAGTTTAGCAATAAATAATATACATGAATAATAATAGAAATAATTTATGTAATGTGGAACTTGATAAAAAAATTCCCCATCTGCTAAGTGCTGTTTCTAGTACACTATTAATTCCATGTACTAATACATCTATTACTGTTCATAGGAAAATAATGAAGATAAGTAAGAACTGAAATATACATGGATACACTGTTAGAAATAGGGCCAGAGTGAAAAGATACATGATGTGGGGGAATGCCAAGAAATGATGGAATCTATTTTAATCACTCAGAGAGAGACTTAAGGTCAAACTCAGAGATGTTGGTGGCCACAGAAATATTGCTGGCTAATACATATTACTGCATTTTATAAAACGGAAGATAAGAAAACATCAAGTGGGGGAGAGGGCCCCTCAGTCTTAGCTCATCAACAGAAGGTGGCGAACCCCTGCCTGAGTTAGGACGTACAGAACTCTGTGGCTTTGTGCTCAATTAGGGCCAGACTTAAGTCCTGGCAGTCAATGTGTGCCTATGTGTCCCCTGAAAAAAAAAACCAACAAAACAAAAACAGACGAACAAAAAATCCTACATTTGACAGTCTCAAGGTGTTGATTATTTGTGTGACCCAACAATTCACACAAAAGCTTCTTCTGAACAGGAAAACGTTCTTTCTGCTCAAGGGATAATTTGCTCATTGAAGAAAAGAGAGAAATTGGAAACTAAAGAATTACATGCTTGTGCCAAAATGAAGTAGAAAACAGTTTTTCAAAATGAAACATTTCCAGGAATAACTTTCTGCCACCATGTATGTAGCAGGAAAAATAAAAATTTCTTCTGTAATTATACATCTAAAACAAACCCCACAAACTTTGCGTGTGAGACGTCTGGTAAAGGAGGTGCAGGCAGCATCCAGCATGTCTCTACACCTGAGCGAGCGAGTGAACTGATGCTCAGAGGCAGCCACGTGCTCCTCAGAAGGCACCACAGAGGTTGTGAGCTGCAACAGGGCATTGGCTCTCCTACAACCAGCTCTGGGCCTGGCCCGGCTCCCTGGCCTGGCTGCCCCGGCCCGGCTGCCCCAGCCCATCGTTCTGCCTGGTGGGCTTCAGAACGATTGCACAGAGCAGACCTGGGGGAACTTGGCCTTTCACTGAGGGGCTTAACCTGGAACTGCCTCAGTGAGAGCAGAGGGGTGAAAAGGGCCGGAGGTTCTCAGGGCCTTGGCAGGGCCTGGTCCGCATTCTGATTCAGTGTAAATAACTGAGGCTCGCCTGCCTGCCATTCTGGAGTGAAGTCAAGCAGGGGCGTGTGCGTGTGTGTGTGTGTGTGTGTGTGTGTGTGTGTGTGTGTGTGTCACTCAGAAGGGACAAATGCTTTCTGTCATGGTGTGCCAGAAGCTGAAATACCGTGTCTGTCCATCCCCTCTGCTCTGTCAGCACTGGCTCCGGGGGAAGGTCTCTGAGCAGAAATGTGAATTCACAATGCAGCATAAAACCGACTCTGACAGCGGAAAACCCAAAGCCTTACGTAGATCCCTCCTTCCTGAGCTGTTATGTTCATATATACATACCCAAAATTTTTAAGGATTAGAATTGAAGTGTTTTCACTTGTGGTTTACACGGGTCCAAAAACTACCAGTTCCTCGGTCATTTGCAGGGACGTTTTTAGCACTGCAGGCTTTAGAAAGGGTTTGCTAGACTCAAGTTACTGACGCACTCCTGTTCACTTGAATTTAGAAATGAATCACTGTCACAGGGCCACAGAGGGCGGAGGGGGAAAGCAGCAGACAAGGGAGGTGGGCGTCCTGACTGGGGCCCCTCTTCACAGAGGAGGGTTGACTTCAGGGAAGTAGAAGTAGTTGGATGTCCTAGAACTGCAGGTAATTTTGGGTGCCTCAGAAATGTCCCCTCAGTAACTGTAAAGGCATTCCTTCATCTCTGAAGTGCCATTCTCAAGCATAACTTAGTCACTCAGAACCTAGCTGAAAAGCAAAATGTACAAGCTGCACAATATTGTGAAGACTGTCAATTATCTTAAGAAACATGTTAGATGACAGTTAAAGATGCGTGGAAAACAGTTTGGGGTAATATCTCAAAGAGGTAATACCTCTTTAGCCTTGGTCAGATTTTTCTCTGAGAGCGCCACCTTGTGGAACAGACTGGGATATAGCAACAACCCCCTCCCCCTTCCAACTTCTGCCCCGACAAAACCAAACAACTCCCAATACCTTTCATTCTCACCATTTTAATTCGGAATTATTGTAATACTATTTCTGTAGACTTTTGAGGAAAAACCTGAGGAGAATTTATTCTCAGGTGGCTATTTTCTTGGGGGCCAGAGAAGCAGACCACAGAGGCACGGATATCCTAGCAGTAAGTTAGATTTAACTTGCTGAAAACCCTGGAGGAAACATCCAAAAAAGGCAATTCGGTACTTCATTAGAAAAATTCAAAAAACCAAATTGAGAAAAACAGTTAAAAATTGAACCTGGACGGTGGTGGCGCACGCCTTTAATCGCACGCAGCACTAGGGAGGCAGAGGCAGGTGGATCTCTGTGAGTTCGAGGCCCAGCCTGGTCTACAGAGCGAGATCCAGGATAGCTAGGGCTACACAAAGAAATCTTGTCTTGGGAGAAAAAAAAAAGCATCTCTTTCAGAAGACAGTAGGGCAAAAGAATAATTTTCGCTTATTTCCTTAAAAAAAAAAACAAAACAAAACTAAAAGCCAACAGAAATTAGATATGCTTGAGATGTGCAATCCAGGCGCCTGGAAGAGGCAGGAGGCTGTAGACACCAGGCCAGCCTGGCTTGTCTAACCAGACTTACCCCCTCCATAGACAGGAAGCTGGGAGGAGATGAAGGTGCTGTGTTTCTCCTGCATGTGAGGGCCCACTGTTCCTAATCATTCCAGGAATCACACCTTGCATCAGGCTTCGGTAGCATGAGGCTCTTCCACTGTGGAGAATGAATGTATGAACACCTTCCTAACTATGGACCCAGATATAAGGATGCACATGATGAAGGATTTTTGGATAAGGCTTATAGGTTGTCCATTCTCAGCTGCCTAGGAGGTAAATGCCACTTAAATTTTCATTATTTTATAGTGAATATTCCTAGGCATGTATATATAGTGAGGATAGCTGCTTTTTTCCTATGAAATGAGGGAGGAATACCAATGATTCTGTGTGTCTCTACAAAACTTGTATTTTTTTGACACACCAAGTCCACAAGTGCTGGATGACTTCAAAATTTTTTCTTGGAATATACTTAATGGCAAAAGTGTATTATTCAAAAATGTATGTAAATTTGAAAATACCCTTTGAATACTGTTGTTTGTTCCCATTATTTTGTAGTCTTTAAAGGTTCTGAAATCACACAGCATCGTTATTTCCTGTCACAATGTAAAGCATGCATTCTCGTGCAGGTTATCAACAGATGCTAACACAGGAAGCAGGAACAGTGGCACGGGACTTAAAGCTCTTCTTTCCTGGACCCAGCTGTGCAACAAAAATGTGCTTTCAGGAGATGTGAGTCACTTGGTGCTCCTAAAAAACAGTCAGACTGGGGCAGCGGCGCACGCCTTTACTCCCAGCAATCAGGAGGCAGGGGCAAGCAGATCTACTTGAGTTCGCGGATAGTCTGATCTATAAAGTGAGTTCCAGGACAGCCATGGCTACAGAGAAACCCTGGTGCGTGTGTGTGTGTGTGTGTGTGTGTGTGTGTGTGTGTGTGTGTGTGTGTGTGTTTCTAACTACGATGTTAGAAAGTTTACATGATTTAACTCCCACAACAAGAATGGCTATAACTGGCCTTGGTAGGCACAGCTTTTCAGAGAAGCAGCTATGGTTACTTTAAAAACAATTTCAGGACATACTTTAAAGTTCAAAATGTTTGCTCCTTTTGACTTTCTCAAACAAGTTGGCTAGCATCCTATTCCAGAGGCAACTGCACCCCTTTCTAGCCAACTGCACCCCTTTCTATTTAAGGTGTTATGCTAGAATTTTTATTTTCATTAAAAATGATCACACGGAGATACAGTTTTTAAGTGACGACTTCTGAGCTGTTTTAAGTAAATCACTTAAGGCTAAATTCAAATCTACTATTCAGTGAGTGGGTTCTGAGAGAAAATCGTGAGAAGCGGGGGGCAGAAATGGTCCCAAGCTAATGAAACAGTTTCTCTGCTGCTTGAGTGCCCGTCTTTCAAAGAGGGACAGAGTGGGAGGCTGCAGCCCACTGGGTGCTCACGGACTGTGCTGCTAAGGGTGGTGGGCGGTGGGGACTCCTCGCCACAAGATAGCGTGTGAACTTATGGGGACTACCTGGAAAACTCCCCTTTTGTTTCTGAGGAGGCTGTCACAACGCCGTGAGTCCTGCAATGCCATGGCCTCTGGAACCAAACCCCGAAGGGAAGCGATTAGGCATGTTCTTGCGCTGTTCCTACTGTAATTTCAAACTTGTTTCTCCTTACTGAAAGCTGTTTCGGCAGAAGGCTGGGGCAGTAGGATCTTCTCAGTGACAAGGGTGCGTGAAACCATCGGCCACAAGGGGGAGCCCTGCTCACTGAGTCTTCATTCTACTTTAGGTTTCCATGTGCTACTAAGGGCCCGAAGGGCAAGGTTCCTTGTATGGAAACTGGGTTTCAGAAGTGTGAGCCTCAGGGAGACGTACATCCAGAGAACAGCTGTATAAACAAAGATCTGGGGCAGAGATGCAAAATCCAGAGAGGTGGGATGCCCTTTCTGCACCATCCTGGCACAATATGACAAGTTCTAATACCAAAATGCTTTGTGATTTAAAAACACCACTTAAAGCAGGGCAGTGGTGGCCGCACGCCTTTAGTCTCAGCACTCGTGAGACACAAGCAGGTGGATCTTTGTGAGTTCGAGGGCAGCCTGGTCCCCAGGACAGCCAGAGCTACACAGAGAAACCCTGTCTCAAAACCAAAAAAACAAACTAACAAAAAATAAAAAAAAAAAAACCAAAACAACACCCCCCCAAACCGAGAATGAACAATCAAAACATCTACTAAGAAATAAGCCCAAAACAGATGACAATAATGAAGTTGAACTCTATACGTTAAAAATTCTGAAGAGTAGATAGATTCCAGTTTAAGATAGCTGTATTTTCCTTGAACAAAGCTAACGGGGGTTGGGTTGGGGTGGGGTGTGTGTGTCTTTTTTTTTTTTTCTTCCAAAAGCAAAACCCTCAAAATTATTTTCACTTTATCACATGGATACTAAACCGAAATGGAGTAGGCCATGGCAAATGAGTTTTATGTTCGATTTCTAGGCCCCAGAAAAAAACCTGCCTTTTGAACCTTGCTCAAAGGCAAGGCAGAATTCACTGTCCCAGTGAGACCTAGGACAGGCCTTGTCTGCTGCTCTGAGCCTAGCTCAAGCTTTGGCCGCACTGGTAACACACCCCAGTGCTTTAACAATGAGGCACAGAACATTCTCCCAGCCTAGCTTTTTTTTTTTTAATCTTGCTTTTGAAAAAAAAAATTCTGTTTCTCAAGATACTGAATCAGAAGAATGTAATAAATGTATTAAGAAAAAAAAGAAAGACTCCCAACCCCCAAAGCTCTCAGGAAGGGCATCTAATTATTCTCTATTCAAGATAATCACATGTATTATTCAGCTACAAAGAATTCAGTAAGGCTTCAGAATATATAAACACCATCTGAAACCTGTCCTACTGTGTGAAACATCAGCCATTCTTTCAAAGTTCTACACTGAAACATGATCTAGCTTCTATACACATGCACCTGAAACGTGACTGAACACACAGCTACACTCCCCCAAAGCTGCTCTCTACACCTTCTAATCACTAGGGCACTAAATTCGAGCACAAGGCAAAGGTGGCATGGAGTAGAAGGGACTGAGAGAGAATAGCAAGGTCCAGCTGTTTATGATGCCCAGGCCAGGCTGGCTCTGCAGAAAGCAGAACTGAGCACAAGGCACCAGAGAAAAGTACACCCTGCGGATGGAGAGAGAGCGAGATCACTTTAGAAAGTAGACAGTTACCTCTAAAAGGAGGAAAAGCCATCCTCCTCCCTCGGACACTGCACTGACAATGTACTCTACAGGAATGGAAAACACTCAGTGCCCGCTGACAGCAACCTCTACACTGGTGACACACAGAACAGTACTCCACACTGCCCAAGTGACCTCATGACAGCAGGCGGGAAGACTTCACTAAGAAGATGTAGGTGGACCCTGTTCGGATTGCAGAATTGGAGCCAAAAGCCATAAACAAGGTCATTTGCAAAGCATCAGTGAGAGACAGTGAGCAGGCAGGTGTGGTGTGGGGGGCAGCTGGGCAGTCTGTCCTTAGTTAGGCAACACGTATTAGACGTGCTGGCATTAGAGAAGGTGGGCACTATACACATAAGGCAGACTGTGGCAAGTGCTCGGAAGTATGGGGTGGCAGGTGTGGAGAACTAAATGGCGTTCCTGTCTCTAGTCAGAACCATCCCCAAATCAGAGAAGGAAGCAATTCCCTAAGACAAAGAACAAAATACCAAGAAACACAAAGGAAATAACATTTCAAACCAGAAAATACAGGCCTTCTCTATCTTTAAAATGTATTTGAGGTACACTCCCTAAATCTATTGCAAGTAATAAAATGCTTATAAGGCCTTTCCCAAAAGAAACAATTGAGTACTGTACTATATATAGGACTTAGGACAAGTAAATTCAGCTTTCCAAAGAGCAAACAGAAGGATGCATGCTTAGAAAAAGTCTCTTAAAAGATACTAGGGTTTTTCCTCCCTTTTTCTTTCTTGTTTTTGTGGTGTCTAGAACTTTATCGTTTACTGCTAGCCAAAGCTTTTGGACAGAAAGGAAATGCCGAGGACGTAGGCTCACCTTTCTAACTGAGAGGACTACACTGCTGAGTCACCTTCATTGAACAAGCCCTTGTTCCTATCAGTCATTTTAGTCCTTAAAATTCAACTATTCTTGTTGTCTACAAAAAGTAACATTTTAGGAGATCAGGGATCTCTCTCTCACACACACTCACAAGTACCAAAGCAGGCCCAGCAGCTGCAGAGGGATGACATCGTAACTCAGCTGGGCCTGGGTTACCCACCCCACACGGGCAGCATTCAAGGCTAGGAAATGAACGGCAGCACAATTGGTCAGCAGCTTCTCTTCTCTGGAAGTTTTCCAGGCTCTTGAAACAGACAGACAGACAAACAAGTGAACGAACATAAAGCTGCAATGACTCTTGCATTGATTTCTGAACAGTAAACTAGGTGGTGTCCTTGGTGGAGCAGAGCCCATCCAGAAGCCGGCAGCTGGAAGGCCCACAGCCAGCCATCTTCACCTGCTCTGCAAGCCTTGCTGAGGGGACTCGTCAGCTACCAACATGCTTCGATGACCAGCTCATGGCATCCCCGGGGAACCTCAGGCTGTGTTCAGCTCTGAGGTGCTCTGGGTGGATGACAGGTGGGTGTGCAGGCTGTCCTTGTACCTCTCCAGGTCTTGGAAGTATGGGTGATTCAGGGCGCCATAGGCGGATATTCTTTTAGCTGGATTAAATGTCAAGCATTTCTGCAATAAAGAAAACATTTTATCAGAAACATATCAAGGTGAACAATGTGCTTATACGTTGGACCTCGGGGCAAGCCTTGGAAAAGGTGACCTCTAAACCTCTGTTCTGCTTTAGGAAGAAAGTCACTAGTATGAGAATGAACTAAAGCACCCCAAACAATAAATACTGCTTCTGTTAAAAAAATTTAATTTCATTGCCAAATAATTGACTTAAAAATCACCTTACAGAATCACACCTTTTTCAAGGGTTGGTAGGCTGGGAGGAACAGCCTTACCTTCATTGAAGTTACCCTCGACCATCAACTGACCTAGGCCTTCAGGGTATCCTGTGCTTCCATGAGAAAAACATATGGCAGGAACCTGCTGCCTCTCTGGCCTGGGCAGCAGAATGAGATAGATACACAGAGAAGAGCAGGTCTGAATCAGGTAATAAGGGCTCTTCACTCAGGAGGTTAATAGCAGACTTCTTACTCACAGGGCTCTGACGACAAGGACAGTCCAGAGAGAAGGGCCTTCCGAGCTCCCAAGGGCAGCACAGTATACACAACATCAATAATTAGGGAGTTTGAGAGTACAAAAGTACTTATTCTGTTTTTTAAAAAAGTCCTACATTTGAAGCATGTCTGTGTTTGTGTCTGTGTGTGGGAATGTGCACATGGGTGCAGGTACCTGTGGAGGCCAAAAGAGAGTGTTGCTGGGGTTGGGAGTTACAAGCTGTGGTAAGCTGCCTGCCATGGGTGCTGGGAACTCAACCTGAGTCCTCTGCAAAAGCTGTGCATATTCTTAAGAACTGAGACATTGCTCCAGCCCCAGAATCTGATTTTCAGTGGTATTTTTCATATGTGCATGGCACACTAAATGCTTATTAAATAAATCAATAACTAGAAGTACCGTTACTTGGTTCCTTTGGGTAAAACATCTGCATAGATGTGAGTCTCAAGTTGCTTCAAGTCTCATGGAACTTTAAACAAGTAAACGTGTTTACTTGTCAAGAAGCCTGTGCCCAAGGAATCCAGAGTCTTCTAACGCTGCATCCAAATACGCATTCAAAACTTTGTGTTAAGAGTTGGAGTAGAAAAGACATTCCAGAATCAAAAGCCACCAGCTGGAAACAAAAATCCACAGGAAGACTACAGCCTCTCATACCGTGTGGTTGTGGCATACGATGCTGTTTGTCTAAATGGGCACAGGCCAACTACATCCCGGGAACTTACCAGAAGTAGGTCTTTGCCTAGTTCATCAATATCTGTCACAAACTTCTCGATGGGTTGGGCAGATTTGGAATGAAAAGCCTGCCTGGGAAGGGCAACATCCCTGGGCCAGTCTTCTTCTCCTGGGAGTCCAATCACACTACAGATGGACAGAAGTGAATGTGAACATTGGCAGTCAAGCGAAGGGCTTCCTCACCAAATCCTAGAGCAGGTAAACACCACAGGGCAGGTGTGGGGACAGGAGCTCCAGGAGAACCTCGCCTCATGGCGGAAAGGAATTCTCACTTAACCTACTGCCCTGTACAGGGCAGGCACACGGCACGATCTCAGACACTATGAAGTTCTCTGGCAGGAATGAACAGCGTCCCTGGCAGCAGACACTAATGGGAGGTATGTGGATGGGACCTGTGGAGTCAGGGGCCAGTCCTGGTGTAGTGACGAGGCAGGGCCTGCTACTCTGAAGACAGACACTTGGATATACAGGGTCCTCCTCTACGCCCGATGACGCTCTGCTCTGTGTTGATAGAACAGCTTTGCGAAGATGGGCTTTCACGATGCCCACCCGGCATAGCTTATTAACACATTACTTTGGCCAAGTTTTTAAATTAAAGAGTAATTTTCTAAACGATTATGTAAATTAGACTCAAAAATAAGGTTAAAAAGTATGTCGGTCCTATCTTATGCAAGCCCTATTTAGTGGTATCCCGAAGTGAGAAACAGTCAATTAAAAGGGTGTCATTTAGGTTTCCCCTGACAACCATTCTGGGATCAGAAATGTGGAGGGAATAGCAAGCCATAAAAAGAGCTTTGGGAATAGGCAGATGTGGCTTCAAATTCAGCACCTGCCCTTAACTGACATGTGAGGACAAATTACATGACAACCATGAGCTCTGGGGTCTTTACGTACGTGACAGTGGTAATTTATGGTTATATGAGGGATGGTGGTAATTTATTGAAGCTGCATACTACAGTGCCTGGCACACAGTAAATGCAGCCAACGTCCATTTGTTACTTATTATTGGTAGGCTGGTGGCTCTGAATAATTTATACATATGTAGTATTATTTCTAGTTTATGTATAGATCATACATAAATATATCTATTATTTATAGTTTATGGTAAGTGTATTTGGACAGTACATAGACTCTGAGTAACTGTGAACTGAAAAACAAAAACATGGTTTAGTAGACAGGGTATACAGTTGCAGATACAGATCCAAACTATTTGAACCCTAGTTAGAAATGGCACTAGCGCCGGGCGGTGGTGGCGCACGCCTTTAATCCCAGCACTCGGGAGGCAGAGCCAGGCGGATCTCTGTGAGTTCGAGGCCAGCCTGGGCTACCAAGTGAGTTCCAGGAGAGGCGCAAAGCTACACAGAGAAACCCTGTCTCGAAAAACAAAAACAAAAAAAAAAAAAGAAAAAAAAGAAATGGCACTAGCTTGCATTAAAATCCTCTTCTGTACTTTCTGCAGCATAGGACCAGAAGGTGTGGCCACAGACATCTTTCAAGAAGACAGATGGTAAACGTCACAGGATCTACAGGACGTTGTCACTGTTCCCTTCCCACATCACAGACCTCCCTGGGAAGAGCAGATTCCCCGCCATCCATGCAGATGCCACCAGACACTAACGCTGTCTGTCCCCGAGGCATCAGCAGAGAGCCACATAAAGGCAGACTCATGGACATAGGGAATCAATGAGCGAAATCACGACTTGTGCAACATGCAAGTATGTTCAATAGCAAGGGCTGTAATGTGAGTAACCAAAGGGTAAAAACACTATTGTAACTACAAAAGGAAACACAGGGATGCGTTTGAATAGGATGGGCTATGGCAGTGGAGGAAAAGAATACTTATTACAGAGACTTTGAAACTTCTATCCCCTTCTAGCCCTTTTATATCAAGACTTTTGTACATTATCATCAGCTACCTGGAAATGGATTATAAGGATGCTTAGAATTTAAATTACTTTACTGGCAGCATTTTTTGAAAAGGTAGTATTTCACTGTGCAGCCCAGGCTGGCTTCAAACTCACAATCCTCCTGTCTTAAGCCTCCTGAGTATTATTAGCAGCTTTGAACATACCTATAGATTTGAAATCTTATGAATACAGCAGCCAGAGCCAAACACTTTCAGAGAAACACTATGTCTATCTATATAAGTAAATACATATTAACTACACATAGGTGTGGATATATGTGCATATATACATACATACGTCAAAATAAAACTTAAAGCCCACCCTCCTGTACAAACCCATGAGACACTTGGGTCAGGTGCATCACCTCAGTGACGGGAAGACAGAATGAGGAGTGAGAGTGCCTGCTGCCGTCACACACCCAGGTCTCCTTACTCCGCACCTCGTATTTTACTTCTATTTAATGATGCTACCGCTCTTAGAAAATGCTAATGTGTGGCCTCACACCACGGCTCACTTCTGAAGCACTCGACGGTCTCTGAAATCAGAATCTGTCTACAGCTTACCTTACTAAGAGTGAGAGACTACAGGACTTTCCTTAGGGGGAAAAATCCACTTCCTGTCCAATAAAGACTGCCATGGCCCATAATGAGCATAATGAGATTGTGACAAGTTCATTAGAAAAGGCTCGCATCACATTTCACTATTTGGACAGCTGAATAGAAGCTGCGATCGTTGACATTTACACTGGAAAGCCTGTCAGGGCTTAGACTCTAATAATGGCTGTGCTGGATGGGGCAGAAATAATTCCTCAAGCAGTTTATCAGTGACACTAGGGTGCAGCATTGTCCCTTTTCTGTTGAGAGGACCATTCAGAACCATGAAGCCAAGCCAGAAACCAAGAAGTGTAATCTAAAGGCACAAAACATACAAGGCTTTGCGGCTGCTTTTCTGCTAGCCACGTGGGAGTGCCAGGCCTTGGCCAAAAGTCGAGTAGGCTTTCCCACGGGACAAGCCAAATGTCCCTTTTGGCCTACTGCACTGGCTCCGTGGTCTAAGAGTACACACAGTGCTACAGGTCTGCAGACCATGCTGGGGGTGGCCAGGAATCCCAGGAGGAGCAGGCAGGGGAGGGGGGCAGATGACGACCTCCAGGGCCCAGCAGGCAGATGCCACCAAGACAGCCTTTCCTTTCCATAAGGGAAAACTGGAATGTTTACTCTCCTGGGTCCCTCTTGAAGATCACATGCACACAGAACACACTGCACAGTCCCAGGGAGAATACGAGTCCAGCAGTGAAAAACAGGAGCCTGCCTTGCAAAGGCAGGGCACGGAACAAAAGCGATCAGCAGAGAATGCGTCCATTTTACAGGACTGTCAGGAGGTGTTGGTGGGTGCTCAGGACCTGGGAAGTCCCCAGACAAGACCAGACCGGACCAGACCAAACCAAAACAACAATAACAAAGTAAACTACCTCCCCAACACACAAATCAAAGTCAGCAAATGTTCTTTCGGCTTCAAAGCATTGGGAACAGCTTCTAATTCCCCAAAGAACCAAGTTATCAGCTTTGGGGTGAATTCCAGGTTTGAAGCAATCACACTTAAATAGATAATTCTGTAGGGGCATTTTTTTTTTTTTTTGTGGGGAAGGGGGAGGAGGAAGTCTTATAGATTCAAAATTCCATGAAAGTCACTTGAGATTCATAAATGTCACCAACCAATGATGACGGTGATGTTTAGCCAGGACCCCTATGCTCTTTCCAACCTATCTAACTTGGGGTGGGGCTCGGCAAAAGTACATTTCCAAATAGGATGCCACACAGCACGCCTTGTGAGAAGAAAGGCCCCAGCTACGTTCTAGCAACATGAAAGCATGCACATCCTCACATGCACAAACACGTAGGCACGAATGAAGTTTGCAAATCATCACAGAGCAATGGAACGAACAGCTGGAAGCAACGAGCGAGCTGGAGAACAGCCTACACGAGAACCTCACGTCAGTTCCATTCCTCAGGTGCAGAAGTGAAAGGAAAAAGGGTCAAGGTAGCAATGCCGAGCTGGGCATAGTGCAGTAAGCTCACCGTAGGGGGCTTCAGGTGACGACTTCTCACTCACACAGTTACTCAGCCACAGTCTAAGATGAGAACCTAGGTCTCTCATTCCCTATTTTGGTGTTCTGAGAGAAAATGTGACGGGGTAGCATTTTTTGTCCTTGGCTTGGGAATGCGATGAAAAACCAACAAGAATGATCAAGGACTCTCAATGAGAACAGGCTGCCTCCCTGGACAGGCTGGGAATCCTAAGCCATCAAGGGTCCCGTCTCTTAGGGGAGGTAAACTGGATGTGACCACAAGCAGACAACACATCTGCACTATGGAGCTTGCACTTAGAGCTCAGCCAAGCATGGAGAAGCAGCAACGACCCGCCCAGGAAGCACACAAGTTTTCAGAGCACAGCAGCATGTCATGACCAGCCCTGTGAGGGGCTCTCTTCTACCCTGTCCCCACTCACCACACCAACTAGTCAGACTGTCTGCAGCAGCAGCTTGAGGCAAGAAAGAGAAGAGAGAAAGGAGAACATCAGAGGAAAGTCACTGCAAACTTTTCATGTGATGGAAGACCGTAATTGTTACTTACTCCAAGATTTTTCCTAGTTGATCCACATCTGAACTTCCGCGAAAAAGAGGCCTAAAAGAGTAAAGACACGTCTTAAAAGCAGGCATTTCCTGAAGTTACGTTCCAATCATTGTCATTATCACTGTCCAGCCGAAAGCCAAATATTCTTCACCGGTGGGAGGAAGAATGACTGTCCCTCTCTGGTTAGGGGAGGCTTTCCATGTATTTCTCTTGCAACAGACACCCTCCTGCTGGCTGTTGACTTTTATGACTATGCACCCGGTTTCATGCCATCACAACAACGAAGTACCATGGTCTACAGGCCCAGGTCTTAAAGTTCAGTTTAACTTGCCACAGGGTGGAGCCCACCTTGGTCCCAGCCTCCCACTAAAGGTACGTGGGAGTCCTGAGGCTGTCCTCAGAGTGCCTCTCACACCACGCCACGCGGGTACTTCCTCCTGGGCCTCTCTCCTATCTGTCCTGGGTCCTGTAGTGTACCACCGCTGGGTCTCTTTTCTTAACTATGCTCCTGTCCTTTCTCTTAGTATTATAGTTGCTAACCATCACATGTTCAAAAATCTTAGCTCTGGCCTTCAGAGGCAACTGTGCCCCCTTCTGAACTCAAAGCCTTCCTTATCTACAGCAACCATTTCACTGGCAACGAAATAAGCTCCCTTTGTGACATTTCTGGTGTTTTCCCAAGTAGACCAAATAGTCCTTTGAGGGTGGGGACGTCTCAAGGTTTCCGCATAAGTCTTGTCCTAATACTTTTCCTAACAGACACACAGTTACTAAACATTTGTTGTTGTTGTTTACACCTGTAGTATACAAATAAATCCTCTTCAACTCCTTGTTCAGTGAATGGCATAAACAGCTATTTTTCTCTTTCTCTTTTAATTTTTTTATTTTTGAGTCAGAGCTTATTGCAAAGCCCACTCTTGCCTGGAATTCATTATGTGGACTTAAGGTAGCCTCCAACTCACCACTACTACCGGCTCTATTAATATTAATCTATTTCAAATATTTATAGGTTTTTGTCAAGAACTGTATTCCTTATTATATTAGATATCAAACGTGTGTGTGTGTGTGTGTGTGTGTGTGTGTGTGTGTGTGTGTGTGTGTGTGTGCGTGCGCGTGTGTGCGCGCGCGCGTGCTGCTGGCCACAAATCCAGAGCCACACATGTAAAAATGAGCACTCCATGACAGAGGCAGCTGCATTCCCAGCCCTTAGACAAGTTTCAGAAATAGCGAAGCAGAAAGTGAAAAAGTGATAAAACTCAAAAAACAAAAACAAACAACAACAACCCACAGAATTATGGACTCTTAGCAGCTGTCTTTTACAGAATGTGAATGTTGTATCTAGCACATTTTCAAATGTTCCCCAAACAGGGTATTATTTAATTTCCACAAAAACTCCAGGAGCAATGAAGGATTACCATCACCACTGTAGACAAGGAAACAGGATCAACAAATGATACACGACTTAACCAACACCTAAAGAATTGCAGACATGAAATTCAAACCAAGTCTGCTTTGCCCCAAAGCCTGCACTGCGCATCTCACGGTTATGTCGAAACACATTTATTTTCATTACTAATGTTCTCTTAGCTCAGTTCTGTGCAGCTAACGCCACCGGGGAGAAGCAGTATGGGACTCTGGGAAGGGGTGCTTCAGAGTCCTGGTATTTCACAAGCTGGTGCTGTGGGATCTTGTATTCAGACTGCTCTCCAAATGTCTATGAGCCTTTATATTTTGTTCTACTTAAGGAACAGAGCAACCCATCAGCTGAAGGGTGCTTGCTGTGTTCTCTGTACCTCACTCCCTGGTGGGTGCTGTGTCTGAGTGTGGGGGGCAGGCATACAATGAAGAGGTGGGGCGCTGGGTGGGGGCTCTGTCTCCATGAATGGGATTCATGCTGTAAGAGGCGGAAAGATGCGCCCTGTCCCTTCTGACTTGTGAGGAGGCAGCAAGAAGCTGGTGCGTTGGAAGCAGGCAAGCTTCACTAGACACTGAATCTTCATCTTAGGTTTCACAGCTTAAAGGACCATGCACAATAAACTTCTGTTGTTTGCATGCACTTTCTGTTTTTATTTTTGTTAGCTAATATTATTTCCTTCTTGGGTCTCTGAGGGAGTTGAAGATCAGTTAGTTATAGTTGAAGGTTAGTTAGTTATAGTTGAAGATTAATTAGGATAGAAAGTGAATTAGATACATTTTGGACTTAACAAAATAGGATAGATAATGAAATTATTTTCTCTGAATTTGTCAAATACAAATGGACTAGACATTGTTTAGACATTTATTACTTGTATATATTGTATATAGTCATTGTACTTTTGTATATAGTTTTTCTTTTGTTAGTTATAACCTTTTTCTTTTTTTTCCTTTTTATTAAAATAGAAAAGGGGAAATGTGGTGGTATTTTACTTGTACTGAAATGTGATTTTAATTGTATGTTAATAAATAAAGTTGTCTGGGGGTCAGAGCTATTAGAGTCATAGCAAGTGCATGGCGTCGGTGGCGCACGCCTTTAAGGACCTGGAGGGCGGTACATTCAGGCAGTGACGAGGCAGTCACATGTTTGGGTTTACAACCAATGACAAGGCAGAACAGGAAGACTTTAAGGACAGACACACAGGAAGTAGGTCCCTTTTCGGAGAGCTCTCTTGGCTGGAGAGGATCCCTGAATCAGGAAGGGTGAGGCTCTTAGCTCTGACCTCTTGGCTTTCTTCTCTGAATTGGCTCTGTGTTTCTTATTTTATAAGACCGTTGGTTACATCTACAGTTGTTTATAAACTACCCAGTCTAAGGGGTTCGTTTACAATTATCAAATAGACTAAAACAATAATCCTTTTGGATCCTTAAGTCTCGGCTCCAGGGCCCAATCTTTTTGCTTATACTAAATTTTTATTTTTCCAAATATTGCCCTTTCTTTTCACTCAGATATTTGCTTAACATCAGAGTAAATTATGAAAATTATAAAAGGCAAAGTCAAAATGACATTCTGAGGTGTAGGAATACATAACTGACCCTCCCTACTATTAAACAGGTTTTAAAAGGCTTGAGGGTGAGGGATACCAGGTTAACCAAGTTTATACACAGAGGAAGGATTACCAGCTAACCTGGTGAGCTGATTATGTGACTATGTAACTGGGCTAGCTGCATCACCTCTCATGAAAATGGGGGCCACAGAAGCTGGTGAGAAATTACTTTTGAGTATCACAGAACTGCGTAACATCAATATTCTGGCCACAGCTATTGAGAAGAAAGCAAAATAGGCTATCTTGAATGGATGCCTCTCCTATGCAAAGGCCTAAGCCTGTCTCTTGTTCTCGGTGCATGTCTTAGGTTATTTGGGCAACTAGAACAGACTCATAAGCCAGAGAAGAGTCATAGGAACAAGAGAAATGGACCCCTCTCAGTTTAAGATGATGGCAAGCAGGTGAGGACCCCACTTCCTGCTTTGTAAAACAGCATGGCTGCCTTCTTGTTCCCTCAAGACCCAACTGAAACAGAAGGTGTTGTAGAATATTATTTTAGAGTGTGTTACTTTTGTTTATGTTGCCTTTGTTTAACTCTGAAGCTGTGTTATTGTGCCTGTGTAAAACACCTGATGGCCTAATGAAGAACTGAATGGCCCATAGCAAGGCAGGAAGAAGGATAGGCGGGGCTGGCAGGCAGAGAGAATATACAGAGGGAGAAATTTGGGAGGAGAGAGAAGAGATGGAGGAGCGAAAAAAGAGGGAGCCGGAGAAGGAGGGGGACATCAGATGCCAGCCACCCAGCTACAGAGCAAGCCACGGAGTAAGAGTAAGGTTTGCAGAGAATGGGAAAAGTCCAGAGACAAAAGGTAGATGATTTAAGAAAAGCTGGCTAGAAACTAAGCCAAGCTAAGGTCGGGCATTCATAAGTAATAAGAAGCCTCCGTGAGTGATTTATTTGGGAGCTGGGTGGTGGGTCTCCTAAAATAGAACAAAAGAAGAAATAAAAAACAACATTTTGGCGTACCAACTTAGGACTCGACTATCCACCTAGAGCCTGAGAAAGCTGAACAACAGCAACCAAAGGACATGGCTCCTGTAAGAGTTTCTGCCAGGCAGTCTCTGCCGGTCACTGAGCCCTTGAACAGCTAGTACGTTAAGTAGGAACAAAAAACTAAGTAAAAATGTCTGCCACAGTGCAAGCATCGGCATTTTAGAGCTCTAGGAAGGTTCAGTGCAGTCCCTGGTCAGACAAACCTTCAACCCGCCTTTAGCTTCAGGCTTGGCTTTCAGGACCTGAGAAGTGGGAGGAGCCGGCTGAGAGCCCCACCAGGAGAATCCGGGTGTAGGTTAGCAGTTTAAAGGTTTGCTCATATGGTCAAAAAAGGCTGAAGATACACAATAAGAGAGATCCAGACAGATAAACCTCTAAACAGGTTACAGCACGTTTAACAATGTGCGTAGGCTTAAGAAAAGGAAAAGGGTATAGTCACAGATTTACAAAATAAAGTCTTTAAAGAGAGAATAAAAGAAAAAAAAGCCATGTAAGATGGGAAATACACAGGTAGTCCGGATGCTGTATGTTATTGTGTTGACTTTGAAGTTTTTGATTGTTGAAAAGCAAAGGACAGCTACAAAGAGACCTGGAATTGAAAGAGGGACTGTTGAAATAAACCAGCCTATATGCTTTAGGAATGCCTTAACTTTTAAAAAGTCAAAAAACAGATCTGTCAAATGGAGATCAAGGGGCAGAGACTAAGTTTTTGGTTTAGTATCTTTTGTGGGGAGAAATGAGGTGAACGTGGCTGGATCTTTGTTATTGAGACAGAGCTGAGCTGGAAGGAAGAAACAAAGAAGCAGAAGGACAGAAAACCACCGTCCGTCCGTCCCAGAATTCCTGAGATGACTTAGAGAGGCCCTACATGAAGAATGAAGGTGGACAGGGATTTTCAATGGAAATCAGTGGGTCAAATGCACACAAGAGAAAAAAAATGACATAATTCCTTCATTTTTAAAGGAGCCACAAAGCAAAGCCATTTTGTCTTTTTTTTTTCTTCTGGGTCACACACACGTGCTAATTCTTTTAAATGT